TTCCCTAAATGACCTATAAACTTCCACAGCAACTTGATCAGTCCAGAAGACATAATTTTTTAATCTCTGGCGTAAGCATTGAATTGTTTTACTTAACTTTAATTAAAGCCCTTTTTAGCAATAGCTAGCAGGTAATATACAATATCAGGGCCCAGGACTTCACAAAATACAGATAGTTATACTCTTAAACTACAGCAATATCCATTTAAAAAAACCCACCTGTGGACTGTCCCCTAACCACTGCAGGTAATAGGATAAAGGCACAGAAGCGTGCTCTCTCCTATTGAGTCTTCCCCTGCACCCAAAACGTTCAAGGTCCAGAAAGAGGAAGCACCCGTAAGGCTGGTTGTAACATGATGGTTTACGAGATGTTTTGGTAAGGTGAGATTCAAACTGTCCAGTACCTTCTCCCAGATTTGGGTCTGCCTTTTGACCCATCTTTGTTCACTGCAAACCACAACTTGTAGCAGTTGAATTTTAAAAGCAAATGGAGCTTTGCTTAATTTTTTGAGAAAAGATCCTCAGAAATACTCAGTCCAGCTCTTTCCCCAAGCCCCATCCCCGACTTTTTCCAAAGGGATTTGAGGTCAAACATGCTATGTTCCATGGTATCAGTGGGGGTGTTTCCCCACTCGTCAGCATGAAGCTTTTCTGATCTCCAGTCTGAGAAGCCAAATACTTGGTGCTGACTTCTCTTGAGACAGCTGCTTAATGAAACTATGATGTGATTTGTAGTCAGCTGTCCAAGCCATATGGCAAAGTATTTGCATGGATGCATATACAACCTTCCATTTCCTATATGTGTCACTAGGATTATGAGTTCTAAGCAAAAAGCAAAAAATGAACGAATAGTTGTGTATACACTGAGAAATATGTCACATGACTCATTTACTAGGATGATACAAAGAAGCAAGGGTCACATTGCACGTTTATGAACAAAATCAGGCCAACTGACACATGTCAATGAATGAAGACATCCGGTTTCTACCAGACAAGTGGGGAACAATGGTTAAATAAATAATGTGCATTAAAACCACTGTCTGTGAATAGGTTCTTGGAAACTTTGTAACTACACTAAGAAACAATTCCAGTCCATTGAGTCTTAGAGCTCAAAAAATTGTCTGAACCAGACAGATGAGCAAGGAGATGTACACTCTGAAAAAGTCGACTAAGGAAAGGCAGACAATGGGAAGTCAGATACAGGAATAACTACTTTCTAAGCATGTGTGTTTCTTGTTAGATCTGTCACAGTATCTCAGGGGCATAGCTATTAGCTAACTCAAGCCCTGAGTGTGAAATCCTTTCCTATACAAGAAGTCAAGATAAGGTTTGTGTGCTAATTCTCCTTCAGTGAAGTAGAACTTCAAGCAACATAAAAAAAGTCTTTTTTATTCTAGACTTCTACGGTGAGTTGAAATGCAGTCTTAACACTGCCAAGTGCTGTTGACCAGATTAGCGGTTTTAGCTCTCAAGGTCTGATATTATTGCATGGTAACTTGCCAACAAAGACTGTTGAATGAAGTAAAAAACACAGTTCAGTTGTTAACAGGAATGAAAACCAAAATCAACTAAGTATCTTGGATTCACAGTTTATTGATCATCTAACATCAGGCAGTTTTTCATTTAACTACAGATGTTTTCAGCTAGCGATGGCCATTAGCAGAGTTGTTTGTTTACTATAATCAACTTTCAGTTCTTTTATTTCCTACATATGCTGTAATTAATACTTGGAACAACTAACATCCTAATTCCAGACACACTGCAGACAAACTCACTGAATCATTGATTTATATACAGCAGCGGATGACTTAATTACAAGACAAGAGCTTTAGAAGTATTTAGTAAGCAGAGGGAGGAACCTAGCTGGCACAGTGGCATTGTTGAGAGCATCCTTTCCAATTTGAGCAATTACATTAAAGAATCTGGAGGTAAAATGAAAAAGCAACGGTATTGTTTGAAGAATGTACTTCATATCATATAATCACAAATTGGATGCTGTCACAGTTTTCCAAAGAACTCTATACAATGACCATCCTATGCGCTAAGACTCTAAATCAAATTAAATGAAAGCATACCCATGTGTGGGAAAGGTAGAAACTATACTTGTATCAAAATTAATCCTTGCTGTCATGAACCCAGCAGTGTCAATGTTACTTTGGCTGGAAAGTCTGTTGACCTTACAGCATAATTTCTAAAGATAGATGTCAACACAGATCTTACTTCAAGTGTTGATTCAGCTGAGACAGAGCAATCTCTAGTAGTCACGATCTTTGAGATGGGACCTGTGTTCATCTCTGTTTATATGAGCAGTTTGAAATGTGCTGCTGGACTACATACAGTACTGTGGTGGAGCAAAGCAGCCAACTCTCACAGCTGGAGTCAGAGTAAATTGTATTCTTTCACTTGATCAACAGCAGTTCCCCAGGGCAGAGGATTGTAATGAATGGAAGACTATCACAGAATCATAGGATCATAAGGTTGGAAGAGAACTCAAGAGGTCTCTAGTCCAAACTCCTGCTCAAAGCAGGGGGAGCTCCCAGGTCAGACCAGGTTGCACAGAGTTTTGTCCAGTTTGGTCTTGAAAATCTCTGAGGACAGAGACCAAATAACTTCTCTGTGCAACATATTCCAGTGCTTCACTGCCCTCGTGATGGACAAGCTTTTCCTTATATCCAGACAAAACATTTTGGTTTAGTTTTTGACTGTTGTTTCTCATCCTCGTCACGCACCACTGACTGTCTTCTTGAGAAACTTTTCGGACATACTGGAAGACACCATTTGGTTTATGTTCATTGTGCAGTCCTTTACTCTCTCTGCCTCACTGGGTACGTTCCTCTTGTAGAAGAACGGGTCAAAGTTTGCAAGCTGAATTTGTTCTCTGCCAGCAATGTAAACTTTAAATTAGCTGGAATCGGATAAAGGACTCCTGAAGTTCAAGATAACAGAGACATCAACTCAAACCGTCAAAATCTACTACCGTTTTAATCTGGTAGTCAGATAGACTGCAGAGGCCGTGAGAGAGTGCTGGGGGACTGTGCAACTGCCAGAATAAGAAGGAAACTACAGATTTGAAATTGCAGTTGAGCATTCCCGTTGCCTTTTTTTGAGCAGGAGCTGCCTTTCCCACAAAATCAGGGCCCTTTGATCTCTCAGGCCACAAGTTCAACCTTTACTCAAACAATAGGTCAAGCAGCACAACAGCAGCATATCTTTCTTACTGCAGGTATTAACCTTTGGGACCCAGTTGCTGAGCAGCTACAACCTACAATTTACAAGCCCTAGCGTTCATTCTGTGTATTACGTATTTTTATGTACTGTTGCTGGTTTTGCTAATTGGCTATATAGCATAATTAT